ATTATTATTATTATTATTATTATTATTATTATTATTATTATTATTATTATTATTATTATCCATTATTATTCTAAAAACAAAAATAACTTTAAGAATAAATAAGTTCTGTCACTATAACAGAAACAGAACAAGAAAATTGACAAATTAACCTAGGTTCTTACGTAAGAGTCAGATACCAAAAGAAGTACTTTCCCGGAATAGTGGTTAATATAGTAGAGGATAAATACGAGGTTAAAACTATGACTCCATTTGGCTCCAATTTATTTAAATGACCGAATCCAGAAGATCATGGAAGATTAAGGAAGAAATTGTACCACAGATTCAGTAAAAACTAGGATGCTACGAATGTCAAGAAATTGCGAAATATAACTAGACTCATAATGCCTACATACCTGTATTTTGTTTGTTTTTTAACAATAAATTATTATTTATTGATTTTTATAATAATTTTCCTAATTTTCTAGATAGGTATTTTCTTAGTTCATTCACTAGACCAGGAGGGTTTATTTACTGGTATTGAGCGTTCATTCGCTGGGATTTTCTGAATAAATTAATTTTCATCTTTTATCTTTTTGCAAGCCTTTAAAATAACTTTATTTTAATAATAACATTGGATTATGAACTATTTCAGCATCACATAGAAATTAAGTTGTCGTAAATATTTATTGTGGTAAAATTATAGGCATAATTTAAAAATAAAGAAGGCCTTAACCGTTCATTAACAGGGACTTCTACCCTATATTATAAAATTTTACAGTCATATATCCTGACTTACAAACAACAATAATTACACATTAAATTAAACTAGAAAAGAAAGTTTGTTTTTTTATAGTTTTATTGTTAGATAAAGAGTTGCTATTGGTATTTTCTTGTTGAACCCCAATTTTGTCATTGTAAATGTTTTTTATAGGATCGATCCTAAACGCTTAGAAAGGTAGCAACATAATTTATTATATTATAATTTTTCCTAGGGCCGATAAAGCACTTTCTAGAGATGATGCTGTTCTGCACATTTAAGAAGATATTTTCACATATTATGAGACTGTTTTTACTGATGGTACTGTTAGCAAAATAAAAAGGAGCAAGCTGAAATTAAAGGATGAGGCAATATCATGTACATTCCCAAATCTCCCTTTATTCTTGAATTATAACGATAAAAAATCTTATATAAATAAAAATTTCCTTGCTATATTCGGTCATTAATTTTATTTTATATCGTTAGGACAGCACTACATATGTTTCGAAAAACTCTGTTTCCATCTTCGGGTGCAGTCAACATTTAAAAACATTAAAAAACACATGGGGACGATTAAAAACAGTTTAAAATTTTTAGAATACCAGAAACCCCATCTTTTGTTTTAGCGTGTGAAGGTGTATTCGAAATAATATTATTTCGAATACCAGAAACACCATCTTTTTGTTTTAGCGTGTGAAGGTGTATTCGAAATAATTTTTGTTTTGTTTTGAAAATGTACACTGGCAATCTAATGTTAATACAATTAACAAACTTGTGTAATCTTTGAAAACGAGAATATTGGTGGAGGTGGTGGTGTTACGTTAATTTTTGACCGCTCAATTTATTAAAGGAAAAATTCGACTCACCTTGTTTAAATATATGGCAAAAAAGTAAACCGTAATTTATGGTTGATAATCTTTTAAAAATTATTATTTTTGTCGTGAACTGGCTGCATATATTTTTAGCATTGAGATATCATTATTATAATTTAATTAATCGTATCACTGAACAGGGGTTTCGTATTTTGTTCATATTATCTGAGTTTTTGTTGATTGTATTCCTAGTACAATACTTTGTACAATACTGGCTAATTTGTTCAATTCTCCTAAAAATAGAAAGTCTCGTTGCGAATTTATTCATATTATGTATTATAACCTTACCTTTAGGTAATTAATTATGTAGGATACCAATTTCATCGAATTTGTATAGTTTTTGTTCTCATTGTTTATATTAATCCAATATTATGGCTCTAATTTCTTACAGTACAAATTTCTTGGTTAATTTGCTAGATTTAATGTTAGTCAACGACGGGACACGATAATTGACAGAGTCATGTGTTTTGTGTCGTTTCAGGTAATGGTATCGCTGTATGAGGTGCGTTTGTTTAAATGTGGGGTTGGAGGATTTCTCGCGACCAGTGTGTTTTGGATGTTTGTCAGTAACAATTTCCAAATGTACAAATGTAGTTATATAGTCTCTAAGATATGTACTGGTAAATTCTTAAAGATGAATTTCTGAACCCACTCTGCTTGTCATTTTTCAAAGCGGAAAGGGAGACATCGTGGGAGATTTTGTTGGTTAGTTGTGTCTGACAGGTGGAGAAAGGCAAAGAACCTCATATTCTGTCTCGGAGTGAAATCTTAATTTTATGTAGCCATCGTGGCTATCCTCGTTGTTTTGATAAATTCCCATGTTTTTTTTTTGGCCCATTTCACACCGCTACGCTAAAGCGGATTTAGAGACGAAAAAAATTGGAGGTCCATGCATTTGTGTCTAAAATATTGAATTGGATTCTTCAATAGTTGGTTGCTGCGGACTCTCTGGCTTGTTTTTCACCCTTGGAAGGCTACCAGTTTAACCTTCTACGAAAAATGGTTCTATTTACACTCCGGAGATCAACGGTTTCGACTAGACTCAACCGTACATCGGTTTACTAGCCACCTGGTTTACTAATAGCTGATTTTACATGGATGGTTCTTTGACTGGATAGGAAGATGGTGATGCCGTCAATGAAAACACCCTACTATCAGGTTTTTATATTATAATGAGGATTTCATATGTGCACTGTGCCTGCTGATTTATTGAATTAAACATTCACTGTTAAACGAATGTTCTCAAGGTATTCTCAACATTATTTATACTTTTGCAAACGGGGTGTTAAACAAGTACAGTTTTGCTATTAATAACTTATGTATTACCAACACTTTTAATTAATTAAGTACTATTTCAAATTTTGTTATTTAAGCCCTTAGCGTCTCGGTCAGGGTATTGACCATAAGTACCTCGGGACATAAGGGCTACAGTCAACTTTTCAATTTTTAGATTTCTTCTTTATAAAAAAAACAAGACTTAACCATAAGTTAAGCAGACTCTCAAGGCCCATTAAGGGCAGACATTATTATATTAACCTATTCCAATCTGGGATTTTCAGTAAATAACCTCTGTGTCTCAAGTCCTAACCTAGTGGTAATTGCATCAAAATGGCCGCGTCTCTCTTGCACAGTATAGTAATCAAAGTATGTGATAGTTTGTACTTTAAATAAATCTAGGATTATTTATTATTCCAAACATTTTGAGTCAGGTATTGAAATTATTTTACGGTAAGATATGTTACGACACATTTTACTTTGACTTGCATAAATAACACTGCCACTGCCCACAAATCACAAAAACATCTGTCAAATGTAAAATTTCGTTGATTGTTAAACATAGAAACGACTTTAATTTACGCTTTTACGTTTTAACAAACGGTTTTAAGAAAGCGGTTTCCAATTTGCTCGTTTACCGTCACCGATTCATAATCATACGAAACCGTTTGATGACGGTGAATGAGGGGTCTATTCTGTAACAATTCCTTTATATTTAAAGGCCTTTAAAAATATTTTCTTCTTTACTTCTGTCATTATTTAAACGGATCTTTAAAAAACATTAGAGGACTATCTTAAAGAAATCTGTTTAAATAATGAAAGAAGTAAATTAACGAATACAAACATATTTTTAAAGGTCGCCAATATTTTTAAAGGCCGTTAAATATAAAGGAATTATTACAGAATAGACCCCTGAGCCCTTTATCTGTCAGTAATAGTCGCTGTTGTAAAAGGTTTTCATCATGCTCATATTGTCTTTTTAAATATAATTTCGTGATACGCTTGATTATTAATGATTTTTTGAGATTATTTTCTGATTCGAAAATAATTTAATGAGACCACTTATTATATTACCCTTGACCAACGCACTTTCGTAACGTCCTCAAACAAAATTGTCTTACTAAAATGTTATAATTATAAATGTCAAATAATTTTGAAAGTGTAATTTCGTGTGTGAAGTAATTAAAAAATATTCATTATTATGTTTTAAATTCATATAACTATTAAATGAACCCTTTACACTGGAAAAAATTCACAGATTTCGCAATCTTTCCGCAACCATCGGGGGATATTGGAAATGATAATAGTTTCTTTTTCAAATTTATGCCCCTCTCTCAAAGAAAGAAAATATTAGATAACTCAAAATTGGACACATGAGATTGACCCAAAAAAATGTACTGTCTATCGAAGCCTTACCTCTTTGTGTACACTGTAACCGGGCCTTAACCGCCAAACATTTTTTAGAGTAGAATTGAGTTTACTTTAAAAACTCAACGAGCTGAAAACTGTATTTTTATACAAATTAGGAAAATTCTCTAATTATTAGAAAAGGTAAATTTATTCAACCAAATTTATATTACTATATTTTAGTTTTCTGGCCCTATAGTTTTGTTTTTTCGTCTGTAAAATTTTGTAATGTATCAAAACCCCTAAAAAATTATGTATTTATTAAGAACCTTTGTATAATTTAATTGTAATATTGTTGTACCTGTAGCCAACGTAACAACGTGATCGGGCCGTATAAACTGGCAAGGCTGATATTATTCGTTTCCTGTTCGCTCTAATGCTAACTCTCTGTAGTTTTTACGTGCACTTATCAAAAGCGTATTAGAAAACATTCAGTGGCCGACAATGTATAATAATTTGGTCATTTGAATCTTTTATCTGATTATCTACAATTTTCTTTCTGTTTGTTAATATAGACTCAATAAATATAAATTGTCTTGTAACCGGTTGAAAGAAAATTGTAAACTGCTATCTGTTCATAATCAAATGAATGAAACCTTTTGATCAGTGTAAATAAAGATCATCAGATATACCTAGTAATTAATCAGTTTCAACCTCATCAGAGTGCATATATAAAGAAATGAATCCAATTGAACAATTTATGACTTTAA